AGAACGAAAAGATTATTTTCTTGGAGGTACAGCATAGTGTCACTCCCTTTCTTACAATTACACCGGATAATTTTAAGCGGGGATTCCGGGAGCTGGAGGCAAGTTACTTAAAATAGGACGAAGCTCCTTGTTTTTATTCATCCATCCCCAAAGACAAGCAACCAGATCACTTCATCCCATCCACAGTTGAGTATAAAAGTAGCTCCTAAATTAATGTTACCTACTTCATTGCTGATGATATCGAGGGTAATTTCTCTAATTGAATGAAGACTTTGAAAGCTGGAACTTTTTCCTTCGATATATGATGACGGAGGTTTTCGGAAGTCACATTCTTTTGGCTACCATAGAGGAGTAATATTTCGACGGTGAAACAGAAAAAGTGCGTATCTTGGTTGCAGGATTTCAAAATATTCGCTCCTATTTTATTTTTTGAGAGGGGACCAAACCAACATCATGGCTTGAAAGGAGGGGTATTGATAAGTGCCGATTTTGGCCCCACTTCAAAAAATCATCTGAACCCATATTTTAAGTACCCTAGGGTAGGTGCATTCTGGCGCAAAATATTTTTGCGATTGTGCATCGTTTTCCTGCCAAAACAGCCGACTCAATTTTTCGGCTGAAAAATGGTTTTAATTTTATGACGAGCCCAAAAAAGCTTTGTTTCATGAGTACGGGAGGTTCATCTTCGTAATTTTTTGCGTACTTTTCAATGGAACAGGCGAAAATTGTCTAAACCTACTTTTAAGGGGTCATTCTAGACGTTTTCAACGATTTTTGGGGTTTTTTGGCAATTTTTCACCTATAACTAGAAAACTGATGATTATACAACAAAAACGATTGCAGATTCAAAAAGAGCGTAAAAAATCCGTTAGAAATCATTGGTTAGACATTTTCTCAGCTTAAACTGTCAACACAAAAAACAGCTCTAAACTTGAGAAAACCGAAAAAACTGCATTTTCCACGATTATTAGTCTTCATTTACACCCAGCACAATTTTGCCACATCACCAAAATTTAACAGATTAAAGTTACATACCAGTACATGAAACACGCCAAAAATTACGGTGTGGAAAAATTGTGCTCATAGTTAAAAATGGACTTTTGTTGAATGGAACCATCCTTGAATAAAAGATGAAAATTCTCTAACTCTCCGGGAAGATTCGCCAATCATTCATGGGATACCTGTATCCGGGTAATTTTTTGCGTACTTTCGATTGGAACGAGTGAAAATGGTGAAGAATCATGTTAAGTGGGCCATTCAGAGAATTTGTCAAGATTTTACGGGGGTTTTGGGGTTTTTCTGTGGGGGGGGAGGTAGGGGTTGTTGGGGGGCTTGGAGAGCATTTTTTGTTTGTAATACACCAAAAAAATAACAAATTCAGAAAGAACGCGAAAAATTCGATAGGATTTGATACTTGACACTCTCTCTCAGCTTGGACTGTCCACACGAAAAACGGTCTCAAACTCGAGAAACTGGAAAAAACGGCCTTTTCTCCAGCTCCCCAGTCATAATTTACATCAATAGCTTAACAAAAGGTTTTTTCGTTTTTTTTTTGTAAAACTCCCTCTAATGGAGATATATTTTTTAAATTTTTTTTTATTATAATTATTCATTCATTTATTTCTTTCATTATTAAACAAGTCACTTTATTCTGAACAATCATATACAAACTGTATACTTAGTACTAAAATACATCGCATTACAGTTAAAAACTTAAATAAGGGCCTTATATCTGCCTTCTGCATACACACCCGAACCACCCTCTGGTATTTCTTTAATAAAACCTAGTGGAGTTATTGACCGTTAAAAAAAATACCGTTTTACCGTACGTCCTGACCAACTTTATTTGCGACGTGCGTTCAATACTTGACACTCTCTCTCAGCTTGGACTGTCCACACGAAAAACGGTCTCAAACTCGAGAAACTGGAAAAAACGGCCTTTTCTCCAGCTCCCCAGTCATAATTTACATCCTGGTCACTTAACAGGTTAGATCGTTAAGCAGTAAACAAGGTGTAACAACTAAGTGACGACAAACTTCCAGGGGTTGTTCCATGGCTCAAAACAAGCAGAAAAGTCCCGTACCAAAATCCTCTACGATGCGTGGTTCTCGAGTTTCGGGGAGTTCAATTTTTGAAAAAAATACCGCACGTGTTCAGATATGACGTCACAGTGGCTGTCCTAATTGTCGGAACCGAAAAAAATTGTGGTTTCGTAAAGTGATCATCAATAGCTTAACAAAAGGTATTTTCGTTTTTTTTTTCGTAAAACCCCTCTTAATGGAGAAAAACCCCAACACAGAAAAACCCCAAAACCCCCGTAAAATCTTGAAAAATTCTCTGAATGGCCCACTTAACATGATTCTTCACCATTTTCACTCGTTCCAATCGAAAGTACGCAAAAAATTACCCGGATACAGGTATCCCATGAATGATTGGCGAATCTTCCCGGAGAGTTAGAGAATTTTCATCTTTTATTCAAGGATGGTTCCATTCAACAAAAGTCCATTTTTAACTATGAGCACAATTTTTCCACACCGTAATTTTTGGCGTGTTTCATGTACTGGTATGTAACTTTAATCTGTTAAATTTTGGTGATGTGGCAAAATTGTGCTGGGTGTAAATGAAGACTAATAATCGTGGAAAATGCAGTTTTTTCGGTTTTCTCAAGTTTAGAGCTGTTTTTTGTGTTGACAGTTTAAGCTGAGAAAATGTCTAACCAATGATTTCTAACGGATTTTTTACGCTCTTTTTGAATCTGCAATCGTTTTTGTTGTATAATCATCAGTTTTCTAGTTATAGGTGAAAAATTGCCAAAAAACCCCAAAAATCGTTGAAAACGTCTAGAATGACCCCTTAAAAGTAGGTTTAGACAATTTTCGCCTGTTCCATTGAAAAGTACGCAAAAATTACATAGATGAACCTCCCGTACTCATGAAACAAAGCTTTTTTGGGCTTGTCATAAAATTAAAACCATTTTTCAGCCGAAAAATTGAGTCGGCTGTTTTGGCAGGAAAACGATGCACAATCGCAAAAATATTTTGCGCCAGAATGCACCTACCCTAGGGTACTTAAAATATGGGTTCAGATGATTTTTTGAAGTGGGGCCAAAATCGGCCCTTATCGATATCCCTCCTTTTTACAGAATATTTCTCACATAGAGAGCGAAAACAAGCAAAGTTTTCAAGAAATGACGTTCAGTATTTTTTAATGAAGGAACTGAAATATGACAAGAAGTCTGCAACAACGCAAACCGAAATAGTATTTAAGCAGTTTCACCATCGATTTACTCTTTTCCCGCTCTTTACATCCGTTCATGGTTTGGATTAGGTTCCAAGAACCTTTCTTTAGATTCTTGCAGGTAAGAATCAGATAAAAGCGTACAGGATAAAGTTGCTGTTCCTATTTTATGGATGTGAGGGGTTGAATCGCAACCAGTAAATGCATGCAAGAACAGCGATCATCTCGGGTTTTGTGCGTTTAACATCACTTTGAAAACGCAAAGAAACATTGGTGTCTGCTCATCAATTTGATGGAACATAGGTTTCTGCAATGGATTCGTAGGTATGCCTGTGCTTTGATCGCACTCAAAGGAGTGGAGACCCACCATCTGAAACCAACTGAAGGTTTTCTAAATTATTTTCGGTACTTATTAATTGTTCATCCTCTGAGTCTAGGGCATCTGAAATTGAGTTCAGAGTTTTTGTGCAGTAATCAGCAAGACACCTCACTATTAGTGGCTCATCATTTTTCACTTGCCAGCCATGATGGCAATCATCTTGATTATCTCGTTTCATTTTTGTGTAAACGATTTTCTTTTTTACATTTCATTTAGATTCGTTTTGTTGATTAAAAATGAGTATAAATTGATACCTCACTTGTGATTTCACGTGATTTTTTTCTCATAAAAATTCACACTCCTGCCTTTCAAATTTGGCCGACATCTTAGACTTCGGGCACCCATTTTGACCGGGGGGCTTTTTTGACTTCAATAATGAAATCTGCGACCAAAATTACAAAGGAAATGACATATCACTTGCCTTATCACGTAAAAATTTGAAAAAATGCACCCTCCTGCCTTTAAAATTTGGCCACCATCTTGGATTTGGGGCACCAATTTTGACCGGAGGCCTCTTTTAACTTCATTAATGAAAACTACGACCAAAATTACAAAGGAAATGACATATCACTTGCCTTATCACATAAAAATTTGAAAAAATGCACCCTCCTGCCTTTCAAATCAGGACGCGATCTTGGATTGGGGGCACCAATTTTGACCGGGGGTTTGTTTTGACTTCAAATATGAAATCTGCGACCAAAATTATATGGAAAATGATACCTCACATGACAGGATATGCACAAGTGAAAATATACCGATATTCCAGAGGCCTTATGGGCGCCATTTTGAATTTTAGGCATTTTGAGAGATGCTCCGGGATCGGACAGTGATAGCATTTTAGGATACTATTTGAGAGAACCTACGGAAGACGTTTACACAAGTTTTGATTAGATTTTACATTGTTAACGGCGTTCTCACAATGATCCAACGCGAAAATTCAGCAAAACATAGCGAAATCAGGGCCCCCTGCCCCCCCGGCCGCCATGGCCTCAGAATTTTGGGCTCACTTGCGAAATTGAATCTTCTATAGGAAAAGATGATATCCTGAAAGTTTCATGCTTTCTTCCAGAAATGCACGATTCTGGGAACTTTTTCCCCTTATCCGCCCTACTACAATGAGTCTTTCGAAGATGAGCAAGAAATAGTAGTTCCTCATTGCAAAACGAAGTCAGACTTGGTTCTTCATGGGTAAATGTTGCCACTTTTATGATTAGTCGAGGATAAACCTACTGGCAACATTCGTGTCCCGCACCAACCCACTAGATATTTACCATGAGAAGGCGCCAGTCACATATGATTGGAAAAACGTGGCAGGAAGCTTAGTCCTTGGTCATACATGACTGACGTAACATGAATTGTAAAACAGAAAAAATACTATGCTTACTGGTGATAAAAGAAGCAGCATCATCTGCAAAGGCCAGCTGGAGACTTTACCTTTCTTGTTATCAGTATACGAATCTAATAGATCGAATAAATTTTCACAACATTTTGACAGCTCTTCGTTGGGAATTTTCTGAAGAAAAAAAGAAAAACTGCCTCTAAACAATCTTACTAGTCATTCATACGAGGGTCATCTAGAAAGTAAGTCTACCAATTTAATATCTCCTAAATTAAGAATAATAGAAAGAATCTGTAGGAATCGTTAGAAAACCACTACTCGCAGCCTTCTAACGCGCTACAGTTTTAATTTATTTTACTCTACAATTTTATGGGCAAGCCTATTAACAAATATGTACAAAAAAAAATAACAACCACAATTCAAAGAGATAGGAGGGAGAAAAGTATCATAACATGATAGATTACTACAATAGATACAACTTAGATTTTATTTGCAAGTAAATCCTCAATGAATTTTTTTAAAGAGAAAATGGGCAAATGGAAAAAATCAACTATGGGGGAAAATTCATTACCAATTCCTAAATCAATCTGTCTACCCAGATTCGCAATGAGAGTGGGACATTAAATATTCAATTCCTCCTGTTAAATTTTGCTAGGACATTAGCATTTATACTTGATAGCAGAGACAGGGCATCGATCAATTTAATCAGAATTGTATAAAGTAGCATTGAATCACAATTATCAAAATTAGATTCAATACTACTTATGCCTGGACGTTCTGCTATCTCTGTAAAATCATGGTCACACCAAAGAATAGGACAACCCTCCTTCAATTCATCGAGACCCAAGTTTTGTCAGCCATTTTACCGCCAAACTTGACCGCCATCTTGGAAAAGAGCTATCTGCCCTCTTCCTCCGAGGTTTGTCGAATTTTCGTGGCTGCTTTGAAGCTAGACGTGTGAAATTTGGCAAGTACACCCACAGTTGAGTTGAAAATACACGAACGTCGAGATCCTACTTCCGCCGGCCCTTCACCAATGTTAAGTATTAAATGCCATTTTGGAAATAGCGGACCATTTACTCAACTCCAGCTGACCGACCCCATTTCTGTATGTTTTTTAGATTTTCGCGGCAAAGTTACCGCCAAAATAATGAAATTTGACCAAAGTATACATGAATATATCTATACATATAAAATATGTTATGCAAAAGTAGCATATAAAGTAACATACTTCACATTGTCAGGTGGTAATTTTCCTCGAAAATAGGGCCAAGATATTGTAAAATAATTATGGAACAACTGCAAATGTGCAAGGTTTAATTTGCAGGGCACTTGTCTTTGCACGTATGATGGGCAGTGTGTTCCGAAATGATTTCTGAAACCTATCTCAAACAAGTCTTTCTTCTAAATTAACCCAAGATGTAAGGGTTTGCTACGCAGTTTTACATTTAGTTTGAAGAAAAATATTGTTTTGAGTGAGCAAAGCAGAAAGTATGAAAATGTCAACTATATTTTTGGCTAATTTTGGCGCAAACCAATAGTCTAGTTGCACCAGCAAAAAATTTTGTTTTATCAACCATACCTAAAAATGAGATAATAACGGAAATCAGCGTATGGCGGCCAAATTCGGAGAACCATGGGAGATCTAGCTTGAATCCCGACGGATTTTCATTCTAGGTACCTTAAACTACAATTTCACTAAGTTTCATGCTAGTAGCCTAATTTGAGATATTTTTACCCTACGCGACCCCACTACAAGGACTGATTCCACGTGTGATAATCCGGTTTTGCACCTGCACTCAGGAGAGTCCCTGCAAAGATAATCCCAAGCTCCAACCTCTCATCAACCGTTGATGGCGAGATAATCGACAAGGTCGGATACTTTCCGGACAAACCTCGTATAACGGTATTTTATAAACGTAAAAATCGTCTTTATTCACCAGTTTTTGATCATTTATGGCCCATTTTCATTGTTCAGAGACAAAATAGGGGAGCAGACCGAGTCAAGTATCTGTGGGGAGGAATGACTGGGGAGGAAAATCAGGAGACAGTGCATCTTTTGAGACTGAAAACTCATTTTGAGAGAATGACACACAGACTTTGAAGTAAATCAAAAAGAACGATTTAAAATTTTACCTGTAAATCAGCAAATTCGTTTGGAAAAGTATCCATCCAATTCCAGATTGCTTTTTCTAGGGATGTCATTAAAATCACGTGAGCGGATTTTTTTAGAGAACGAAATTTTTGAATGGTTTCTGAAAAAAAGAAGATAAACTGAGGTGTAGTGTATTTCAACTTAGTACAGGAGCCTGCCGATAGGCAGCGCTGAGTAGTAACGAGGTGGTGGCTGTGATCACTGTGATCAGTTGGCAATCAGCATTCTATTACCACTATGTAACATCATGTAGACGCACCGTATTCGAAAAGTACTTGTTTCGTAATCGTGTCCTTTAAAGCCATGTTCATGAATAAAGTGTTTCGCTATGTTAAGCCTGTGTTCTTCAATTTGAAAACACATCAACTGGCGACGAGGATAAAAAAAAAAAACAAAAAGTTCATGCCTTTCTCGAGTTCTACATCATTTGACAAAGAAGGTTCCGCATTACGTTGTTCGCATCGGCTTTTCGGAGTTCCAGCATCATCTCCGAAACCGTTACCGCCGTGTGAAAGGAGGAAAAATCTAAAGCAGTCAACAAGTGATACGCCTCATGGAAAGAGGGTTATGCAAAACGGCCAAAAAGTGACCCAGCAGGGATTGTACGAAACTTTGTGGGATGATTGTATAGGTCATTTTGGGCCTACATCTGGCTGCTTTTAGGCGAAAACCGCAGGGAAACAGCGTTGCCATTTTTTAAAGTCGTAACCTTCTAACATCCATAACTTTCGCAAACATGCAGTTACAGAGCTCGTATTTATACCGAAAAACGCAGAAAATTACGTTCTATCGGCTTAAGCAGGAAGAATTTTAATTTGGGTCCACTGTTGCCACGTTTTGGCCATTTTTAGTGTATTTTCCGAAAGAAAGATATTAGTGTATTTTCCGAAAGAAAGATATTAGTGTATTTTCCGAAAGAAAGATATTAGTGTATTTTCCGAAGGAAAGATACACTATTTTAATTTTCATTATTATTAAAAATCACGATAACGCCTAAAAGAGTGTTTGCAGTTGGTGGAGATTGAATAAAAACCTGTCGGAATTATTGTTTGTTTGATTCCGCATCCATTAATATGTTATACTTTTCTGAGAGGCTTAGGGAATCCGAGTTACAGCGATTTTAAAATTCGGCAACACGCCCGACGCCCGATTTTGACGCTCGTTTAGGTACGTTTTGCGACTCTGTGTTAAAGCAAAACGCCTAGACCAAACAAAATTCGAAAAGTCAGTTCGTTTTTTGCTCGTTTTGGAAACTTTCACAGGATTTTTAGGAATTCAAGTAGCGACGGTGTTGCCGGTTTTCAATGAAAACCACCGCTGCAATCACAATTTAAAGTAGTGCTCATTTAATCAAGTCCAGTTACACATGTAAACCCAAACTGACCATTTGCGACATGGTGTTCAGAACATCGCATAATTGCCGTCGGAATTCGCGTAGAGGCGGGGTTGCCAGTTTTCATGGAAACCGCCACCACAAACACAAAAAAAATGTATTACTCATTCAATCACGTTCAGCCTCATTCAGTCGTTGGAATTGTCGATTTTCGAATCGATGACTTTTTCTATCTCTCTGCAACGGCAGCGGTGCCTGACAGTAACGAGATATCGATGTTGTATAGATCAAGATCAATGAATCTGGGTCCCTTGCCGAAACTACTCATCAGACCGCTTGGGTGATTACGTAACTTTGAATTTCGAGAGTTGGAGATGTAAACCATACATACATAAAGCCGCTTTTATAGCGCCGCCTCGCGCTCTGCGACGCCCAATCGCCATTGCCCCCTATCCTCCCAGAGATCATCAGGCAATTGGCACCTTCTGACCTTCTCATCCACCCCTTGTCGCCAACCTTTCACAGGACGTCCACGCCGTCGCCTTCCGGGAGGGACCCAATCGAAGAACTGCTTGGGCAACCGATCATCTGCCATCCTTCGCACATATCCATACCAGACCAACTGCTTGGACCTGATATCGTGCACGATGTCCTTCACCCATTATCTCGCGTACCTTCTCATTGCGGATACGCTCTCTTCTCGATATCCCAGCAGACCTTCGCCAAAAGTCCATCTCGGTTGCCCTAAGCATATCTTCAGTTCTTTTCTTGAGTTGCCAGACCTCACTCCCGTAAGTTACGATACTCTTCACGATAACGTTGTGGTCTCCTTGGAGATGCTCTGGTCCCAGAGAACCCCATTTAGCATCGCGATAGCTTTCCTGCCTTGCACATTCCGATCTTTAATGGCCCGATCTAAATTTCCGTCCTTCGTTAACCATACTCCCAGATATTTATACTCTTCACAGTCCTGAATTTTTCGACCATCCTCCAGTTCAATGCTTTGCTGATCACCACCGATAACCAACTTCTCCTTCTTTACCACATTAACTTCCATCCCCCACTTACGGTATACTTCCACTAACTTGCGCGTCATGTAATTCGCATCTTCTTCGTCCTGAGCTATTACCACCTGATCATCAGCAAAGCACAGAGTATAAAGGGTGCCATTTTCTCGTAGCGGGATGCCCATTCCTGAACAGCATCTTTTCCATTCTTTTAAAACTTCTTCCAGGTACACTTTAAATAAGGTTGGCGACAAACAACATCCTTGTTTAAGTCCCTTCGTAATTAAAAACCCCAACGATAACTCCCCATGAGATTTAACCCTAGAAAACGCCCCATCATAAAATTCTTTTATTGCACTAATTGGTCCCCCACTAAAACCCCTCTTGTTCAAGGCTTCCCAAAGTTTCATCAATGGCACACTATCGTAAGCTTTCTGGAGATCCACAAACACTAGATGTAATTCTTGGCCTAATCCTTTCTTTTTCTCGATCACGTGGATGATGGTAAATAGGTGATCAATTGTTGACCGACCGGCTCTGAAACCTGCTTGCTCTTCCGCTTCATGTTCTTGCCACTCATCCTCGATTTTAGCTTTCAGAATTTTTCCGTATACCTTGCTTAGGGTACTGACAGTCCTCTATAATTATCGCACTTATCCTTTCGACCCTTCTTCTTGTATATAGGTGACACCCAAGACTCTTTCCATTCGATCGGTACCTTGCCACCTGCCAAGCAATCTTGCATCAGATCTCTCAAACGCTGAAACAGCTTGCAGGTTCCACACTTGATCAACTCTACAGGAATATTTCCCGGACCCGGAGCTTTATCGTTCTTCAGCTCTCGTACGGCCTTTACCACGTCCTTCATGTGAATCTCCAAGTTATTATTATCATTAGTATACTCCAAGCTTATACCTCCATCTTGAAATTCAGGTCGCCTTTCTGTCAGTAAATTTTTAAAATAACCCTCCAGTTTATCAATGGATATCGGAGATATTAGGTCCCGCTTCATGTCTCTTCGCAGTCCTTTCAGCAACTTCCAGCTCTCAGTACTTTCCCTCCCTCCTATGCACGAGTCTATTCGATTACAGCTCCTCTCCCAAGATTCGTTCTTTTTCTTGGTGATGAGCCTTCGCACCTGCGTCTGAGCTTTTCTATACGCCTGTTTGTCTTCTGCTTTTTTAGAAGAAAGGAACTGATGGTACTTTTTCCGCTTCTCTTGAATCTCCTTCTCAATTTCTTCATCCCACCAGTAAGGTTTTTCACTAACTTTTCTATCATCAGCAATACCAAGAGCCTCCATTGCTGCCGAATGAATGCAATCCTTAAGGAACTGATACTGCTGTTCGGTATCACCGTGCCTTGATTCGCCCAACTTCTCATCCAAGCGCTTTCCGCACAATGCCCTTACACTTGAATGCTGCAAGCTGTCAATATTATAACTTACAAGCTTGACACGATCTTTCTGTTGGTGAGCCTGCTTTTGTGCTTGCCTGCTCTCCTGGCTCCCTTTAACTGGAAAAGCTATTTTCGCCCCGAGGAAGTAATGATCACTGCCGCAGGAAAGACCTCTCCACACTCTAACTTGCTGAATCTTCATCTCCGTGTCTTGCCTGACCACCACATAATCAATGATTGACTTTAACCCGCGAGTGGACTGGACCCAAGTATATTTATGAATATCTTTGTGTTGGTAGAACCCATTGAGCACCTTCATCTCCCTTTGCTCACATACGTCGATGATACGAGCTCCGTTATCATTTATTGTCGCCTCTCCGAAAGGGCCGACGATCTTACTTTTAACTTATCGTCCTACTCTCCCATTCAGATCTCCCAACACAATGATTTCCCTCCTGGATCCAATCTTGCCAATCTCCTCGTTCAATTCTTCAAAAAATTGGTCCTTCACTGCGACAGTAGAATCATCGTTGACTCCATAAACTCCCAAAATGGTATTTTATGACCAAACACTGCCATATTCATCTTTATCATTCGGGGGTTAACAGCTTCCCATGTAGTAATGCACTTCCGCAGGCTCTTGCGGGTAAGAATTGCAACACCCTGCTGCGCTCGCTGATCTTTTTCGACGCCACTATAAAACAAATCGTAGTCATTCACACTTACAGAGCCTTGTCCTTTTTTCTTTGTTTCCGTTAATACTGCGACATCAAATTCGTGACTCCCTATCTCCGATACCACTTCCGTCATTTTGCGTGCACGGGACGGAAAGGAAGGGAATGAGAGCTCCGACTAGGGCGCGACGAGGGCAAAATCGAGAGCGTCTGATTTCACCAGAGAACTGGCCGAACCCCTATCTTTTCAAAACATAGAAAAAACAAGGGAACGGGCATGTAAATGAGACCCCGAACTCTGGTGGTCAGGGATGAAAAGCTGGAGGGATCCCTCTCGTCAGCGCACAGTCGGTTCCCTGCGCGGGGGCGGAGAAAGCGCGCGGTTGAGGCGTGGACGGACGGTGGAACAAGGGAGAGCCACAGTGGGCTCGAACATTCCCCCCACCAAAAAGAAGGTGAAATCTCTCCTTCTTTTTCGAAACAAAAACCAAGTGAAAAAGAGGATAACTAATTTCAGTTAAATTTTACACATTGGGCACAAGAAAAAACATAAAATAATTAAGAGGATTACATTAAAGCTCGTTCGAGAGGAGAAAATGTCTGAATTTGTTAAAAAAAAGTTAACAAACAATTCAGAGCGGACACAAATTAAAATTTACATAAAAATTAGAGAATTTAACAAATTTAC